CTTTTTCTGCAATCACTTCGCCTCAGGTTCCAACATCTCAGTTCATTTTGTTTTTTCCTTCTATGTGTAACAGTCGTGGAATGAAGAGTCGAAGAGATCAGACTTGCTTCGGTTTATTTCTGTTTAGAACAAGAACATATTCAGCACAGCAACTCTGGGCTCCAGTTTCCCACATGCACCTCTCCTCAGCGCAGCTTAGCGCGAACTCAAAATGCATTAAAACAAACCAAAATTCTCACAGAGGTTAAATAATAATAAAATGAATTAATTATAATAATAATAATAAAAATAATATTTCTCATTTATAATAATTAAATGATAATTATGTAAAATCTGCATACAAAACAAAATAAAACCCAAACAAAAATAATCTGCCCAATCATTACAATTCTCCGATATAATATAAAAAATATACTAAATAAATAAATTTGACATCCAAATAACATTTTGAATTACTCACATACCTGTTTAGAACAACAACATATTCAGCACAGCAACTCTGGGCTCCAGTTTCCCACATGCACCTTAACAAACCAAAATAACAGAAATAACCATGTTGCCACAGTAACCTCAACAAAAGTTACTGCTGTGGGAATGTAACTGCCAGTACTGTGCTGCACAAAACAGCTAATCAACAATATATTTACGAATTATGAGCTAGGAAGAAATACTTTTCAGGATATTAGAACAATTTAATATACAAACAGAAGACCGTTCTATACACTTACCTCTCCTCAGCGCAGCTTAGCGCGAACTGAGGAGGGCAGCGGGGATACAGAGGATATGACACGGACACCGGAAGCGAAAAAAAATAAAAGCTTCTCCTCCAAAATAAAATATCATACAGAACCCAAGAAAAACAAAGAAAAATGAGTTTGAAACATAAATAATTTTAAATAAAAGCAGTATAAAACAGAAATAACGACAAACATGTATATTAATCAAAAAAAGGTGTTTTGAGAAGGTTCATCAAATAAAATAATCTAATTAACTCAGTTACATACTCCCCCCTGAACTTCTCAAAACAGCTCCGGTCAGATCAGAAGCAGCATACAAGATAATACCAGCTAAACTCAGCTATATTTCTCGGATAATCACTATGCAACCAAAGGGTTTCTATATTGCAATAGAAAGCGACATTAAGGAGTTGGCCAGACTTTTAACGTCCACTTGCATAAGAATGTGCCTTCTACACACTCTCTACTCAATTATCAAAGAACTCTTATCTTGACACACATAATGAAAGTAATAAAATAAACTTCCATGTCCATAGTGAAGGGTAATATCCTAAGTGAACAATAAGGTGTTACTGAAACAGAGTCTTGGCTAACCCACCAACCACAAAACCTCCTTGTTTGGTTTTCTGTGTCATATTCTGAATTAACCTATTCACTGGTTTCACTACCCTGCCCACTCTGGTCCTAATTTGGTCCATAGGGGTGGTCACTGCCAGAGGAACATCGAATAAAGCCTCTGCTGCTTCCCCAAGACAACCTTCCGATACACTTCTAACACTCAGAGTTTTTCCATTGTAGTCACTTGTGTGCAGCTCAGAAACAGGGGGCTCAGAATCGGCAAGGGGAACTGAAGGTGCATCAAGGGCTGTGTGCCTTCCTTCTGAGAAGTTCTCCGAAGGGGTGGCCCCTGCAACCCAGCTAGCAGTGCGCTCGGATTTGTGACTTTCTAATTCCTCCAAAAACAGGTTTCTCTCAGCCTCCTGAGACTCCTGACCAACACTGGAGAAAGAAGGCTCTGTCTCATGATCCACGTTTACTGGCAGGAAACTGGCTTGTAAAAGCAAATTTCTGTGAACAACTTTTTCATGTCCATTGTCAGGATTTTTAATGCGATAAGTGTGACATCTTGAATCTTTCGAGATTACAGTGTACAGGGTCGACTCCCACCTATCAGCAAGTTTCCTCCGCCCACGTTCACCCCTGTTGGCTAGGAGGACCTGATCACCCTCTTCGATGTCAGCACCCTTCACACCTTTATTGTAGAGCTCAGCCTGCCGCTGTTGTTTTGCACTAGCATTAATTTGAGCAACCTGAAGGGCTTCCTTGAGGTCATCTCTCATCCTTTTAACATAACTGTCATAGTCTGTAATGTCATTGTCTCTTTCCACACTGTGGAACATGACATCTACTGGTAATCTAGGCACCCGACCATACATAAGGAAAAATGGGGCATAGCCGGTCGACTCATGAGCAGTACAGTTGTAAGCGAATGTCAGTGTTTGCAGCATCTGAGGCCACTTTTGCTTTTCTCTGGGAGGCAATGCTCTAATCATGTTTCCTAGAGTCCGATTAAACCTCTCAGTATGACCGTTCCCCATAGGGTGGTAGGGTGTTGTTCTAGATTTCTTCACCCCTGCTATCTGAAGAAGCTCATGGATAAGCTGGCTTTCGAAATTCGCCCCTTGGTCTGAATGTATTCTCTGCGGAAAGCCATATACACAAAAGTACTTATCCCACAACTGACGTGCAACTTGTTTAGCAGACTGGTCTGAACACTTGAAGGCATGAGCCATCTTAGTGAAGTGGTCTGTCACCACTAACACGTCCACACTCTTCCCATTGGAGTCTTCTGCAGACCAGAAGTCCAGACAAACGAGCTCCAATGGGCCTGTGGTCTTGATGCTTTCGAGCTGTGCTCTTCCTTCAGGCTCCAATGTCTTACTAACAACACAACGCTTACAACATCTTACATAGTCTCTGACGTCTCGTTCCATTTCGATCCAGAAGAACCTTTGTCTTGAGAGGCATAAAGTTCTACTCTGACCCTGGTGGCCAGCATTATCATGCACACCACTGAGGACTTGGCTGATCAAACAGGAGGGCGTCATGTACTGATGTCGCTTCTTCCCTGTCAAGTGGTCTTTGCAAACTCTGTACAGGATGTCATCATACATCTTCAATTTATCCCACTGTTTTAGGATTTTGAGCACTTTCAGAGGTAACCCAGCTCTCTCTCGTCTTGATGGCCGTCTCCCTCGAATGACAAATGGGATGACATGAGACAGGACAGGGTCATTCCTCTGACTATCATGAAGCTCTTGAAGTGAAAAAACAGGTAGGGGGGTTTCACCTGGTTGGGCCAACTTCTCCAGATCCTGGGCTAGCCATGAAACCACTCTCTGCTTGGAACCTTCATCCCACTCCATATGACCAACCAACACTGCAGATACTTCACAATCAGATAGGGACTGATTTTTCAGCTCACTCAATGGGACTGTATGAAGAATGTTCTGGTGGTTGACCCCAATCCTGAAGGTATCCTGAATTAAAGTTTCTTGAACTTCTTGGGACTCCCCCATGAGGTCCCCATATGGCTCATTCAAAATCCGCTGACAGACACGACCCTGCACAAAAGGCTTCCTGCTGAGAGCATCAGCAACGATGTTCTTACTGCCAGGTATATACTTGATGCTGAAGTTGTATGGTGCTAACTTGGCAACCCATCGTTGCTCACATGCATCAAGTTTGGGTTTTGTGAGGATGTATGTCAGGGGATTATTGTCAGTCCAGACGGTGAAAGTATGCCCTTTTAGCCAGTGACTGAATTTATGACAAACAGCCCACTTCAACGCCAGAAACTCAAGGCGATGAGCAGGGTAGTTACTCTGGGCGCGTGTTAGAGCTTTACTGGCGAAGGCAATGGGTCGTGCTCTACTCTCACCTTCTTGGACCTGTGACAAAACCGCCCCCAACCCATCCTGTGAGGCATCTGTAGACAGAATGAAAGGGCGACTGAAATCAGGATGTGCGAGCACCACAGTCTCCAGCAGCGCATTCTTTAGTTCTTCAAATGCACAGTGATGTTCTCCTCTCCAGTCACTTGGATGTAATTTCTTAAATGCTGCTGCGCCCCGTCCATTGACTTTCCTTCCCTTGGGTGCGGCAGTCAAAGTGAACAATGGTTTTGCAATGCGGGAACAGTCTGGTATGAACTGCTGGTAGTACATCACCATCCCCAAAAATGACTTAATCTTTTTTTGTGAGGGTGTAACACCATCCTCCATCATCAAATCAGACTCAGTCATAGCAACAACAGCTTGTACTTTTTCAGGATCAGTTGACACACCTTTTTCACTCACAACATGGCCCAAAAACTTCACACTCTTTCTTAATAGATGGCATTTCTTGGGGGCTAGTTTCAAGCCATGGACCTGCAGCCTGTGGAAGACAATCTCGAGCCTCCTCAGAGCTTCTGCCTCATCGGGAGCATAAACAAGCAAATCGTCCAAATAACAAAGCAGGGTCAAAAAGTTCTGATCCCCAAAGATGTTCATCATGAGGCGCATGAAGTTGGCAGGACTATTACAGAGGCCCTGAGGCAGCCTGTTAAACTCATACAACCCCATGGGTGTGGTGAAGGCTGTTAGTTTTTTATCATCTTCAGCCATGGCTATGTTATAAAAACCAGAAGTGAGGTCCATGGCACAGAATATGGCACTGCCACCCAAAGCCGTCAAACAGTCTGACTGGTGTGGCAACGGGTGAGCGTCCTTAACTGTACGAGCATTTAGCCAACGATAGTCCACACAGATCCTAAGATCTCCATTCCTCTTCCAGACCAGCACTACAGGAGACGCCCACTCACTGTTAGATTTGCGAATGATTTCCCGTTCTTCCATCTCTGTGAGAACTTGTCGCAGCTTGTGGTACTGCCCTGGTGGAACACGTCGATATGGAAGCCTAAATGGTCGATTATCTGAGAGGCGGATGCGGTGGACAAAATCTTTGGCCAGCCCACAATCAAGTTTGCTTCTTGAAAAAATGCCTTCATATTTCTGGACCAACTGCAACAGTTTTGACTTCCAGTAATCACCCACCTCACAAGAGTCAATGTCCAGATCTTCTAACCCCAAGTTACTCAGAGTGTCACGGAAGCTGGTGCAGAGAGAATCTGAGCTGATTGTTTTGTCATCTTTCACTGTCTGATTGTTGGTACTGAATTTTTTATCTAGCACCTGCTCAGGGATCTCATCCATATCTTCAAGGGCTATACAGGTGGACACCTCCGCTACTTTGGTATGGCGTTTTAATATGATGGCCTTATCAGAGGTGTTTAGAATGCGCACTGGGACCCACCTATCACCATTCATGGAGGACACTGATCTACAGACAATAATGTCTTTTTTATGCATCTGTGTTTTGGGTGATGGTTCAACTAGAATGGCACTGCCCTCGGAGAGAGGCGAGTTTTTAGGGAGTCTGCTCCAAATCAAATGTTCTTGCTTTGGGAGAAGAGTGACTGCCTGCACCAGTTCAGCTGTCCCAATAAAATCTGGGATCACATCACCTCTCCATCTTTCAGTGCCAGACAGCATACTAAGAAACTTTATGACTTCTGGTGTTTGGGCAGACTCTGGTTTACTCATAACTTGCCAAAAGTGAGGAGAATGTTTGAACTGGTTTAGGAGGTGTTTGATGACATTTGTGCCCAAAATCAGCTGATCTTTCTGCCCAGGCACCACTAAAGCTGGAACAATAAATGAACATCCATATACTTCCATTTTTAATTCATGGATGCATTTGGGCTTTACTTGAACTCCTCCACAGCCTACAAGAATAATGTCATTACGATCACAATCAGGCTGGGATGTAAGCCCTGCATTCTCAAGAAGTTGCTCAGCTTCTACGCTGATAGTGCAGGCCATGGAGCCAGTGTCTAAAAGAGCTTGCAATGACACTTTATCCCCAACCTGTGCATCAGTGTAAAAGAGGCTGTCAGCCTTTTCTAGTCTGGATATGTTTTGAAACAACACATGGGTGTTGGCTGGAGCAGATTTCAAACTTTCTGTATACACAACCTTTATGTCTTCTGTTGGGGTGAGGGACTCATCATACTCACTCACACAGTGCCCTCTCAAGTGTGAGTGGTTTAGTTTCCCTGGTCAATAGAGCCTCCAACTCGCTGAGTGTTAGGGAATTTTGGACAGCTTCTTCGCTGATGTCCAATCTCGAGACAGGCCAGGCATCTTCTCTCTCTCATGCAGTGTGTCCGTGTAGAGTGGTTACTGTTGCCACATACTTGACATGGAGTCGGTCGACTGGAAGGGAAGAACTGAGGCTGAGTATCGCCAACAGGCTGGGCAGTGCGTTCTAATACTCTTTCAAGCATAGTTAACATCCGTTCAAGAGCACCTGACTCTGCGGAGCGATCATTTGGGCTGGTAGAACTGATAGGAGTAATTTTGGCAGTGTTCATTTGCCTACATTCTACTTCAAGCTCTGAGTGGTCAGGTGCTGCTACTGCAGTGGCAATCTGGAGTGTTTTTGCTTTTGGGGCAGTTGCGTGTGGTCTCTTCACTTGCTGCTCTCGTTGATGCTCATCAATGGCCTCTTGCACCTCAGTGAATGTCCACTTAGTGGTGGGCTTACACTTGAAAACACAGGCGAGACTAGAATCAGGACAATTTCTGATGAACATCATTGCTATCTCTGTATCCATTTTATTCAGGCTGCTTCCTTGATCTTTCAAGTGTTTGTCAGCGTTTTCAGCAGCTGTGTTAAGTCTAACCCAGTAGTCTACTGGTGTCTCATTAGCCATCGGCTGAGTAGCATAAAAATCAGCCAGTGGTAAGCAAGATCCAGGAATGTCGCTAAAATAGCGCCTCAGAATGCTATAAACTGCCTCAGGGTTTACAGGTGTGGTGGAAGGAGCACTCTTTAATCCGATCTTAACAATGCTTTTTGCCTTGCCAAGCAGGTGGTTCAGGATTTCATCAGTTTTTTCCTCAGCTGGGAATCCCTTTTTGCGCAGGTAGACCTCCATTATTTCTATCCACTCATGAACAGAGGTCCTATCATCAACATCACCACGATAGATAGGAGGCTCTTTAATGTCTGATTTCACCACCAGGCTCATTTTTGAGAGATCAAACACTGTGTTAGATGTTTCACTCCGTGCAGACTGTGATGGTGGAGGCTTCTCTGGAGTAACATGAGATCCGCTGTCTAACAGACGGCTGGTAATGGCCTCACCTATTTGGCTCCCTATCTCACCAATGAGGTCGCGTAACTGTCGTATGGTGTTTTCATTATTATTTACAGGGGTGGAAAACTGGGGCTCTAATGGAGGTATTTCAATAATCTCTTCTGTTTCTGATGACCCCTCATCAATCACGTGAGTACTACTCTGGGCTAACAGCCCTCTGCCACGCCCAACTACTGGTGTGAAAACATTAAAGGTACTATGACCTCTGCCTGCCATACTGCACACAGTAAAAAAGCAGTAATAAAAAAAATTAAACCAAAATAGTTTCACTATTCACATACACAAAAAATGGCTTTAATCTAACTAATATAGTGGTTTGATATATGTCTTAAGTCTCTGTGTTCAGAAAAGTGATCGCAACCTCAACAACAATGAGCAGGATCCACAGGCCGACCAACTTGATGACATCAGCGTCACTGGCACACAGCTGAACCCTCGGCGGTCGGCAGCGGCTAACCAATGGATCCGGGTCACGGCACCAGATGTAACAGTCGTGGAATGAAGAGTCGAAGAGATCAGACTTGCTTCGGTTTATTTCTGTTTAGAACAAGAACATATTCAGCACAGCAACTCTGGGCTCCAGTTTCCCACATGCACCTCTCCTCAGCGCAGCTTAGCGCGAACTCAAAATGCATTAAAACAAACCAAAATTCTCACAGAGGTTAAATAATAATAAAATGAATTAATTATAATAATAATAATAAAAATAATATTTCTCATTTATAATAATTAAATGATAATTATGTAAAATCTGCATACAAAACAAAATAAAACCCAAACAAAAATAATCTGCCCAATCATTACAATTCTCCGATATAATATAAAAAATATACTAAATAAATAAATTTGACATCCAAATAACATTTTGAATTACTCACATACCTGTTTAGAACAACAACATATTCAGCACAGCAACTCTGGGCTCCAGTTTCCCACATGCACCTTAACAAACCAAAATAACAGAAATAACCATGTTGCCACAGTAACCTCAACAAAAGTTACTGCTGTGGGAATGTAACTGCCAGTACTGTGCTGCACAAAACAGCTAATCAACAATATATTTACGAATTATGAGCTAGGAAGAAATACTTTTCAGGATATTAGAACAATTTAATATACAAACAGAAGACCGTTCTATACACTTACCTCTCCTCAGCGCAGCTTAGCGCGAACTGAGGAGGGCAGCGGGGATACAGAGGATATGACACGGACACCGGAAGCGAAAAAAAATAAAAGCTTCTCCTCCAAAATAAAATATCATACAGAACCCAAGAAAAACAAAGAAAAATGAGTTTGAAACATAAATAATTTTAAATAAAAGCAGTATAAAACAGAAATAACGACAAACATGTATATTAATCAAAAAAAGGTGTTTTGAGAAGGTTCATCAAATAAAATAATCTAATTAACTCAGTTACATATGCATGCATATCTGAAAGCAAATGCTTCGACCTTGGTAACCCGTACTAAATTATCTTCACATGGAGATAAAATAAGGCCTTTCAGAGTATGTTGGGACAATATTGGTTATATAACAGTTATATAAAATGCACAGATTGAAATTAATGGAGTTGCAGCAAATAAAAAGAGATAGAAGACAGAGTTTTTCCAAGCTGTCTCATATGTAATCCGAAAAAAAGCCTTTCAAAGTTTCAATAATAGTAAAGATAAGTTGAGAAATAAATTAGATTTCTTAGATACAAGAAACCAGCCTCATTCATTTCATTTTGCCATTTTTTTACCTAGAACATTCATTTTATGTAGCCCTCCACATCATTACTCAAAAGCCCAGAGAAAGAGGAAAATTCATGGTTTTAATAATTTTGAAATGGATTTTTAAAAAGTTGAGAAAAAAAGCCCTCAACAGTTTGGTGTTCATTTGTAGCTAGACCTCCTTGTTTGGACATTCCTGAATTAAAAGCAGTGTAACTATATCGCTAACGGGCATCTAATTAATAAATAGAGCAGTTTAATCACTGTATAAATCCAGCTGCTCTGTGAAGGAGCAAATGAACGAGCTGCATCGTAAAGACTGAGGAACACTGCAGAGAGGTGAGGAAGAAAGTTCAAATCCTCACAAGCATTGAAAATCTGAGCTCGATCGAATCCATCTTTTTATTAAAAATGAAAAGAGTTCAGTAAAACTGCAAGTATGATTTAACATTGGCCATACATCCATTATTAGCACTGGTTAAGGACAGTCTTAATCAGAGAAGGACCCAAGGTAACTTAGAGGCAGCTGCAATGAAACCAAATATATTTGTTATGAGCTTCACAAATCAGACATTGGTGTTAAAATAAATTCATAGAAAACATTGTTTGCAATTTGGTTAAAAAAAAATCTATGTTATGTATGGCACGGAATTAGGACTACACATCTACCTGTACACAGTTGAGGAAACATGAAGCTGGCAGCATCATGTTGAGGGGATTTTTTTTTTTTAAGAATGTTAAGGAAGTTTTCATTATAACTGATACATGAAACACACCTTCATTTTAGCTGACTATCTTGACAAGAGTAAATGGTTTAGTCCTCTGCTGTAAATGCAACCCTACTGACAGCTACTGCTGCACATTCTCCAAAGCACATCTGTTTTGATTTCTGTCTCTGAAGCTGCTTGAAGCTGAAGAATGTAAAACGAGAATTGAAAAAACACAAAAAAAAACATTTACTTCTCTCACTCCATTTTTCTTTCACTGAGAGAGAAAATAAAAATCACACTCTACTCCTCATCCAATATGAATTGCAATTTATGAGAGCCTATTTAAAATTCCAGCTCATAGCTCACGCTTTCCCAAATGTTGTTGGTAATCGTTGCCTTCTTTATTTCAGGGGCCAAATACCCAAACTGACAGATCTCGCATACAAATGTCTTTCCTCCTAGTCTCCCACAAATACAACTATGACGGTGTTAAATGATGAAATAACAGAGTGGAGCTGCTGTATTTGAATGGATATGTATTTAAATATATGCTTCAACTGTCCCGGTGCTGTATGACTTATGAGACTGCATGATCACTTGTCACTGGCTGGCGTAAGGGAATGGGGCATGTGTCATATCTTGTTTAAGCAGGCCTGGTGCAGTGTGTATGGGTGTGGAAGTGTATATGTGTTTCACAGTGACTCGTTGCAGCTCCTGTTGTTCAACTGTTCCTCCCCTCTGGCTGTTAGCTGACTTGGGAAGTTTCCCGCCGGATACAATGACAACAGCTGGCATCCATGTTTTGCAGAGATGTAAAAAGAGGTCAGCTGAGAAGACGTTACAAGCCTACCTATTTTCTCAAAGCCTCTTCGTCTGTTTCGATGTGAGTTAGGCTTTCACAGCCTTCAAACTATCCTACGACGCTGCTTGCATCTCAGAGGGCTAGAAGCAGGCGTGCAGTCCAGAGAATGCGCCAATGGAGCAGCTTTTGCTGAGATTTCCTTTAAATCGAACTCCTATAGGTTTTATATAGGCAAGTCCTTCAAACTCCACAATCAAATCCCCAAGAGGAAAACAGAGAAGATGGAGAAAAGTTTGACTCTCCGTGCTAGTAGCCTGCTGCATGAAGTGATCAAAACACATTAATTATTCATGACACCGCTGAGATTTTGGATCTGTGATGCACATAAGCATCAGCAGGATATTTTAAACTTAGATTTTTCCTTCTAATCTGTTTGAAATTCACAGTTCTTTAAAAAAAAAAAGAATTCAGGCGGCCTGAACTTCTTCACATTTTGTCAGATTTCTGAGAACATTATAAGAACCATGGGACCCTGATTATTCTGAAAGTCATACACATCCTATTTGCACTTGATCAAGCTCTTCAAACATCCCATAACATCCCACATAACAAAAATTGGCTGATAAAAGTATGCATGGTTCATGCTAATATATGATTTCAATCTAAGTATCTGCAAAGCTGCAAATGGTATTGTAGGCCTACAAGAAGGGTAAAAGACTGTATAATTGACTATCAACCTAAAAGTTATGTAGTAGTACGTGTTTCACTTCTGTTCTACAAAATCAAAATAAATTCCATTGATATTTGTAAGATAAATATTGTGAACATACTGTTTTGTTTTGTTTTTTACTTTTATTTTGTGTTGGTTAGGCAAAGTTTTGTTCTGCTCTTCCCTCAGTGGCCATACAACATGGGCTACAGATTTTTCATTGATTTGTATCATAAATGAACTGACCAAGACAAGGTCGCATAACTTTCTTACAGGTGCTGGTCATAAAATTAGAATATCATGAAAAAGTAGATTGATTTCAGTAATTCCATTCAAAAAGTGAAACTTGTATATTATATTCATACATTACATACAAACTCATATATTTCAGATGTTTATTTTGTTTAATTTTGATGATTACAAATGACAACAAATGAAAATCTCAAATTCATCATATCAGAAAATTAGAATATTACTGAAGACCAATAAAAACAAAGGATTTATAGAAATGTTGGCCAACTGAAAAGTATGAACATGAAAAGTATGAGCATGTACAGCACTCAGTATTTAGTTGGGCCTCCTTTGGCCTGTATTACTGCAGCAATGCGGCGTGGCATGGAGTCGATCAGTCTGTGGCACTGCTCAGGTGTTATGATAGCCCAGGTTGCTCTAATAGTGGCTTTTAGCTCTTCTGAATTGTTGGGTCTGGTGTATTGCATCTTCTTCTTCACAATACCCCATAGATTTTCTATGGGGTTAAGGTCAGGAGAGTTTGCTGGCCAATTAAGAACAGGGATACCATGGTCCTTCAACCAGGTACTGGTAGCTTTGGCACTGTGTGCAGGTGCCAAGT